TTAATTGGTAGCATCAATGTTTATTCCAAATCAAACGTTAAAATTTTGATATGAAAATAAGTGAATACGAAATAAAATATCTTCACGCATTTTTTTTGTTCTTTTTTTGTTTTTTGGATTAGCGAATATTACAGGTCGATCGATTATTTATTTGAATGATTGCAATTATATTCTGTTATTTCGCAATTTCCGGCGGTAATTTTTGTTTTAGAAAAATTTAATTTTTTATTTTTTTATTTTTTTTTTTCATTTTCACTGATAACTGTTGCTATAATATATTTTGATTCATTTCTTTTAACTTTTCATATTTTTGTCATCATTAATGCAAAAATTATTGCAGAAAAAGGATTATCAATTTTCAGCACTCTTTTTACGTTACTTCATCTAATGAAGGTATACTTTTACTTAGCGAAATTAAGGTAATACATGCTAATTAATAATATTACTTTATCTTACAAAGGTATACTTTTATTTGGCAAAGTTAAGGTAATACTTACTAATTAGTAATATCACTTCATTTAACAAAGGTATACTTTTATTTAGCAAAGTTAATGTAATGCTTATTAATTAGCAGTATTACTTTATCTAACAAAGGCACACTTTATTTAACGAAATTAAGGTAATACTTACTAATTAGTAATGTTACTTTATCTAACAAAGATATACTTTATTTAATGAATTAAGGCAATATTTATTAACTAGTAATATTACTTCATCTAACAAAGGTATATTTTTATTTAGCAATGTTAAGGTAATACTTACTAATTAATAATATTCTATATACCATTTTAAAAGGTAACATATTTAAGGATCTTCTACTGCATAAGATAACTTACATTTGTAGACGTAAAGTCAGAGGAATGGTATCCGAAGCATGTCACCGACTTGGACCATATCTGTGACAAAGTCATTATGTACGACCCAAACAATTGCTGTGGATTGGATGCAAATCATCCTGTCAGTTTGACAATTTAACAAATATTTGTTTATAGAACTGATTAAGACTAATTAGTACTATGACGATCTTTTTATAATCCTAAATAGTAGGAGCATTATCTTAATTAAATGATTAAGTTTTGATGTTTTACTTTTAAAAATTTTACAGAGTTTTAAAGATAAGGAATATCGGAAGAGACGAGAATGGTTTTTGAAAATTTCGAATGATTATAAACAGTAGGTTGCATTGTTGAATCCTATTACTAAGTGTTAATTTGTAAGTTAGAATTATTTTCGAATTCATTTCTAACATAATAAATGGAGTTAATGGTTACTAATATATAAATGCAAATTTCATGATAACAGTGAAAGCATCTTTTCAAAGATTAAATTCATTTTGTTTAAATTTTCAACTATCATAAATTTAAGTTTTTCTGATAGTACAAACAAAGAAGTCAAATGATTTTTTTGTCAAATGAAATATTTAAAACTATTCCGCCTGCTGCCAAAAAAAGTGGTAAAAAACGAAATTTTTTGCATAGAAATATATATCTTTTTTAACATTTTTCATTAAATAAATTTTCAAAATTGATAAAATTAATAAGTCTAAATATTAATTTCATAAATTTTTTTTTTTACTAGTGGCACACCAATACCACGAATGGATTATACAACAGCTGAAACAAAAACATGGTATGTATCAGCTTTAAAATACTTTTCTAGAATGATGTTAATGAATTAGAATTTTAGTAAATAATAATAACATCAAAGTTTAAATATATTTTAATTTGCATTTGGATATTTCTGATGTTATTTAACTACTGAAAATTTTCATTTAACTCATTAAATAACTTAAATATTAATAAAATCTGATAGCTTATTAAAATTTCTCAGGTCTACAATTTATCGTGACTTGAAAATATTGCATAATAAATTTGCTTGCAAAGAATTTTTGGATAATTTTAAATTACTCGAGGAACAATGTGGTTATTCTGAGAAACAAATTCCACAACTGGAAGATATTTCAAAGTATCTCCAAAGTTTGCTTTTAAAATAATTTTACTATTTCGAATGCTTTTGATAACTTTTTGCCGTCATATTTTCAAGTAATTGAAAAATTTTCGCACTTTTGATAGTTCTTTTGTAGATTCATTGAAATAAAATGAAATATCTGAAATTGAATCCATCGTTCAGCTGCACTTTCCAGTCTTTCATCTAATACTACCATCAAAATTCCTGTTTATCTGGCGTTGAATGCAATTATTGAAAAATTAAATTTCAAATTGACAAAATTGTCCAATATTGAAATAATATCAGTGTTATTCTCTGATAGATATTTAATTCGAAAAAATCTAATTATATATGGTTTAAATTTGTAAAGAATTTCAGCATTGCAAGCTGGAAAAGTTCAAATTGCCACCAATTCTAATATAATTTAATTTAATCTCATATAGTAATGTTATCACATAGAATAATTCCTCAATTTTTTAATCTTTTCATTTTTCAAATTTCATTTTTTCAATTTAATTTCACATTATCATTTCTTCCTTTTTTTTTTTTTTTTTTTTTTTTTTTTTTTTAGCTAAAACTGGCTTTACCTTACGTCCATGCGGTGGTTACTTAACTCCTCGAAATTTTCTCACTTCATTAGCATTTCGTGTATTTTGTTGTACGCAGTATATACGTCATCATACTGATCCACATTATACACCTGAACCGTAAGTTTTGTTTGAAAAAAAGAAAAAAAAAATCAAGAAGAAATTATTTTTAAAAATGTTATTAAATTATTTTTAAAAGTTTAGTGATTTATGTCATGAATTACTCGGTCATATGGCAATGTTTTTGAATCCAACATATGCTCAACTTAGTCAAGAAATTGGTATTGCAAGTCTTAATTGTTCTGAAAAAGATTGTAATGCTTTGATACGGGTTTGTTTCATTCCATCTTAATTTTAATTTAAACATTCTTAATTTAACTTTTTCATATTTTCTTAAAATCATTACAATTAGTGAGTAAAGTTTTTTTTTTTTTTTTTTCTTTTTTCAGCTTTATTTTTTCACATTTGAGTTTGGTCTATTGGTTGAAGGTGAAACATTTGATGAAAAAAAACGAAATTTGAAGGCTTATGGTGCAGGATTGCTTTCATGTTTTGATGAATTAAAGGTATAATTGTTAAATGTTTAAATAGCGATCAATAATTATGCATTCAAAGTTTAAAAATAATTTTTTATTTTTTCAGTTTTCTGTTTCATCGGATGCTAAAATTTGTCGATTTGAACCAGATGATGTAATTGAAATAGAGCCTGAAGTTACCAAATTTCAAAAGTGTTATTTCTATTCGATGACCATTAATGAAGCATTTCATAAAATAAAGTATGTAATTATTGAAATATATGATTAAATTAAAAGAAAAATCTATCTCAGTTATGACCAACTTGAAACAAAAATTTTTTACTCCAATTAGTGTAAAAGTTTTTAATCCATCCTATTACTATATTTAGTCTTATTTCTACTTTACTGGCTCTTCATTTCAATCTGATTAAAAAAAAGCAAACGAAAAATCTTTTAAAAAAAATGCGCAGCAAAAATTCTGTTATTTGAAATTTAATTTCTAACACCTTCTAAGATCTAACAATCTGTAGAGATCTAAATTTCAAGCACTGCAAATTTTTGTGATTAATTTTAAGTAAATTAAAATTTCATAAATATCATTGTAAACTTTAGAAATAAGCTAAAGTTTAAATAAATGATTGTTATATAATTAAAAATCAACAAAAATTCGTGATATCAAAAAATTAGTGGAATAATTTTGACTTTTCTCTACTTTGAATTAATATTTTAAGAGTTAGCGATTAGATAAGAAATCAAATAAGCAAATGTTTTCAACCATTGGTTATGGTATGCTAAGTAATTCATAAAAATCTTTACGAAATGGATTCATTTTCAGTACTCCCAGAAATTATCATTATTGAATTAATTAAATTTAATTTTAGGTCTTATATTTCAACAATTAAAAGACCATATTCATTTCATTACGATCCGCTTACACAATCAATAAAAAAATTAACGAATGATTTACATTGATAAATGTGTTTTCAATTAGATATTTGTATACGAAGTGAAATTAACAATTACCATTTGATGCACAAATGATGGAATAATTTTGTAATTAATTTTTATTTTTATTTTCTAAGCCATTTCTGTTCTTTGTTTCAAATCTAAATAAGTAGTATTTGTGGTTGGGTGAAATTCATAATATTAATTTTTCATTCATGATATTGTTATATTTATTGCAATAAATTTGATTTTTGCTTTTTTTTACTCTTTATTTGTAAATTGTATCATTTGCAATGGTGTATAAAGGTTTGAACAAATTGAACAAGTTAAAGTAATATGGGATTAGGTAAAACTGTCAACTCTTAATTTAAGTAGTCCAATGAAACGAAGGACAAATTTCAGTGTCGGAATGTTACTGCCCGAATGTCGTATAAGTACCCTGTAAATTATTATTATTATTATTATTATTATTATTATTGTTATTATTATCACTATTATTGTTATTTGAAGTTTCAGAGAATATTTTCAACCTCTTAAAATTTTTTAGAAATTCCAAATTTAATGTTATTTTATAGATTCAGTGAGAAGTAAGTGAATCGTAGTGAGTGAAAATAAAAAGTTAAATTGACCAATGCATCAAAAGTGATTCAAATTTTAGATAAATATTTCGAAATTTTAACAATTGGTTACGATCAACTAATTACATTTGAATCGAAAATTCCATTCAGAAATGGTTTCTATGAAAAAAAAAAGCACTGAAATAATATCATAGATTACTTATTTCTGATTATCTGTTAACTGAAAAGGTTCAGTTATTATTCAAATTTCAATTATTAATTCATTTTATTTTTTTGTTTCATAATTTCCACTTCTTGACGTAACACAGCAATTTTTTTTTAGCAAATAGCGCCACTTAAAAGATATATAATATTATTTCATTAACATTTTATAAAACGATATCGTCGCGTTCGGTTGTATTTACGCTAATTAATTCGACGAAAAGACAATGTCAACTCTAAGTGAACATAATTATGATAAAGTGCAGTTGAACGATGATAATGTTAAATTAGGTTGTATAAAATTTTATTGAAGTAAAATGAAATACGCGAAGAGAAAAATATAATTATATTTTCTATTCTATTTGATGAATTTGAATTATTCATTAAACTGTAAAGTCCAGCAAATGTTGTTAATAATGATTTCTAAAATGTTTAATGCTTGAAGAACAATTTAAAATTTTTTAATTTTTTTTAATTAATAATTTTTTTAAAATTTAAATCAACAATTTAAAATGGTCTCTCCTTTTTCGTATCAGTTCTTAGTTTACATATCGATTTTTAACCTTCATCTTAAACTATAATCTGCCACAAAATTCAAAAAGTGTTCTAGAAATTGCGCTCATTTTCTCAGAATATATGATTTAGTTACTGTTAACAGAATAACAAAGTTAAGAAGATTCCTACTTTATCAGAATTCAATTTCAATTTTATCTCTTCCAAACACTCATTTAATTAATCTTTCTATGGCAAAATGGAATCTATCTTTTGATAATTTAACACGATGGAAAGAATTAATCTTTTTTTTTTAAAAAAAAAAAAAACAGATTCTTCTGCGGTGACAACGGATTTGCAAATAATTGATGCAGCATATGATTTTTGTCAACGATTGAAGACACGAAATTTGTTCTTCAGAAAATCTCAAGCGGAAGGTATTGAAGATCGAAAATATGTTCAGAGTGGTTTGTTTTCTTAGTTTTGTTTTTGTTTTTGTTTTTTTTTTTTTGTTTAAGAATAGAATTAAAAATTCTTAAACATAAGTTTGATTAAATAGAAATCATGAAAAATTAGTGCTGAAAGTATATGATAACTTATATTGTTATTATACTTATTGTATGAGAAAGTGATTACTTTGGAAAGTAAATAGATAAATGTATAAGACATTTGCTTCATTTAAATGAATAACTTTTTTTTATCAAGGCGAATTGTCTGCAAATCCAAAATTTCAAAAAATAAATGCGACAACAAATGATATGGATGAACTTGTCAAAGGATGGTAATAATTAATTTATAATAAATTTTAGTGAATAATTAATTTATAAATAATTCGCAAACAAAAAAAAAAAAAACTATTTTATTAGCTGTAAATAAGTTATTTTACAAATAGTTTACGAATGATTAATATTACAAAGATGAAAAAAGCACGTAAATTTCGGGAAAAATTTTTTCTTTATTATTAAATAACTTTTTGCTATAAAAGGTAACAATTCATTTGCGAGATTTTTGATTAATATTCATCTGATTGATATCGAAATATTTGCTTTTGTATATTTGACCAAATGAATTATAATTGATTTTCAATGATTTAAATTCATCTCAAATTATCCTTTATAGTGTTTATCCTGTATATTCAAAATCAGGTCGACGCTACATTGTCAAAGTTTCACCTGGTGGAGGCTTAGAAGCATCATTGCTTTTACAGGTTCATTCCTTTTTGAAATGTCAAATTTCAGAAACAAAAAAATAAACTTTATAAGTTTTATGATTTCATAAATATGAACCAAATTAAAATTAACGATAAATTCAACATTTTTTCCAACTAATTGCAGGCCAAAAAATTAAATGAAAATAATGCATCGAAGGATGTATGTTTGCCACTTCTTGTTGATCACTGTTATCATCATATGGTAAGAGATATGATATATTCATATCAGCCATAATTTTTTTTTTATCACAAAATAAAACGTAAACGAAGCTTTTATTGGCATTATTTTGATGATTAGAACCAATTCACATATAGTTTGAATAAAGCCAAGTTACACATATCCTGCACAGAGCCAAGTCATTATTCAAAGATCTAATTTCAGTCAAGTACCAATTTTTTCATACTTGAATTCTGCCAGTACGGTTCGTTGGAAAAGTTACTTGCAGAGAGTGGCGCAGTACCTATACATAAACAATATATCGCCAAAATTTTACGTGGAGTTACCACGGCACTTTATTTCTTGCACTCGTAACTTCTCACTTTTCTTTCTCCCTCTCTCTCTCTCTCTCTCTCTCTCTATCATGTTATGTTAAACAAAAAAAATTATTGTTCCTTTCTATTACAATATTTTCCTGAATTCATTTGCTTATCTTTCTGATAAATATTATCGATAGTTGTTAGATAACATCAAATAAAGACGAGAGATATACTCGAAAATATTTCTCATTTTTTAATTAATTCATCTACACTCAAATCAACAACCGTGTCACAATACTTTATTGTTAAATAAAGATTTATCTACTGAAATCTATCCGTATGTAATTATCGGATGAATTACAACGAAAATTTTAATTGTTACTATCTATTATAATCCTTAATACATCATCATCATTATGAATCACTTAACAACTTTGACATTTACAATATTTAAACTATTGTTACTATTTTCTACTTTTTTTTTTTTTTTTTTTTTTTAAATTGAATATTTAAAACTGAACAATGACCTTTATCATTGAATAAAATGATCTGTATCAAATAATATAAATTTATAGTCAGTGCATTTATCATGGAACAATTTGTACAGCTAATATTTTGGTTGATCATCAAATGATAGGTCGATTAACTGGTCTTACAGGAGCAAATGAAATTGTTGAAAATGTAAACAACAAAAACAAACATTTATGTTTACCTATGTATGCTGCACCAGAATCTATAAATCCTGAGTAAGTTCAATTATCACTAAATTTCATCAATTTTCATTACTATTGAAAACATTTTGCCGCTGTTGCTAATAATTTATGAAAGTAAAATTGATTATATTTAAATTATTGTCATAAAAGGGCTGAATTACTACCGCAAGATATGTTTGCAATGGGTGTTGTACTATATCGATGTCTCACTGGTCGTATGCCGAAAAGAAAACCGAACAGAACGGTAAACAAAAATACTTAAGCACATTTGTAGTTATTCTGAAATTTTTTGAATTAAATTAAATTTTATCTCTATGCATAATATTTCAATTCATTTCTTTAGATCTATACATACATTATCATTGATAATTGATAATTGAAGTTAGTTAATATTGTTGTAGATTGATTATCATGGAGTAAAATCATCAATCAATTTACCAATAGATTCAAAAATGTGGCACACCGCACAACTTCTAATGTCCGAACGTTTAGATATGAGATTGACCGCTGGTCAGTTACTGCATACCGACTGGATTGAGAATGCTGCAAACACTGTCATAACTCAGATTTTTAATTGGAATAATTGAAGTTTATGAATATCGCACTATACTGTAAATTTATTAAAATTAAAATATTATGTTGATGAATATATGCAACAAAAAAAAAAGAAAAAATTTTTTAATGGGATTTGATGAGAAATTTTAACGGTTCACACTGATAGGACCTCTTTCAACTCAATTAATTTTTCTTAAACAAAGGCAAAAATTAGCAAACTACATGTGATTCATGAAAGAGAGATTAATTTCATTTAATTATCTTCAAATTTAAGTTTTTGCATAAATACTTGACTTGTTTGCTCTCGAACTTCCAAAATATTCCATTAAAATTACAATAGACATGCAACTGGAAAGTTAGAATCATGCATATTTGTAATGAGCCACTGTAAAATTGAAACTGAATCCGGTCTAATTTTATTGATGCTGAATAAATATCAAATCAAGAAATCAATCGAATTTCAAATTTTAAAATTGTGCACTTCTAGCATGTAAAATATAAATTGCAGATATATCATGATAATATGCATAAGCATAGCATAAAATCTAAAAAAAAAATCAGCAAATAAATTTAGAATTTCTGCAAAATAAAAACAAATTAAAGAAGTGAGAAGCTTCAAAGAACATCAAAAGAGTTTTAGCTTTATTTAAATATTTATGTATCAGAAGCCAAAATCGTCTTATCATCAGCTTCAAGCGGCATTGGAGCTGTTTGATGAATATTTTTAGATGAAGTTTCTTGTAAGTTGTTTCCTTCTGCAATACAAAGGAGAATTTTAGATTAAAAATGAATTCCATTCCGAATCATAATTTAAAACTTAAATTAATTTCTGCCGATTGAAATGACTTAATTAACTGGAAGTTTCTAATACCAACAGTAACAATAACAGGCTAACAACAGTTTGATTGGTTGTAAAATGTCAGAAATATTACAGATTGACTGATACCTTATAAGGTGGAAAAATGAAACATTGTCATAGTACCTTACAAATTACTCAAAATTATATAGAGAGAATTTCAAATAATTTTGAATAATTTTAAGAAATGACTAACCTGTAACAGTTTTAGAGTTTTGCTCAGTTTTTTCTTCTGGAATTTCCTTCAACAAATTATTTTCACGAAGACATTCATAAAGTGCATTCTGTAATCGTATAAATGTTACCGTTAAATCAGAATGTCCAACTTTTAAACCATTGCAGAGATATGCAAATGCTATTTCATTTGTTAAATCCATTTTAACATTTTGACCACCTAATCCTGGATGACCAATTAACCATTGACCCTAAAAATGAACATTTTTTCCATATAAAAATTAATCATATAGATTCTATTTTTAATGAAGGTATTTTTTGAAGGTAGAAGGTGTTTTTTTTTAATGAATAATATTAAATTAATTATTTTATTCAATCATCAGAATGGAAATAAATGTTTTGAAAGTGATGAAATTAAGTGATAAATTATCTACAGCATAAAAATGGTTGATAAATATTTTGTTAGTATTTCTCAAATTAATATTAATCTATAATACCTGAGAATTCTTTGTATAGAAGAATCCTTTTCCAAATGATACATTACTTAATAACAATGAATCCATTTGATTCAAAACTATTGGATCGGAAAATAGCTTCTCTAAAATTTCTGCTTTCAAGAGTTTTCCATCCACAATCAATGCATGAAGTTTTGCAAGTGATCGAGCAGTACCCATACCAGTTGCTGACGGTATATCCAAAGATCGAATATCTGGATTGTTGAATATTGTTGCACTCTGGAAGCTGTTTGTTGAATGAATATTTGGTTAAGTGGTTTGGAGAAGCTTTCACATATATTCTGAAGTTAAAATATAATTAAACATCAACTAACATATCATTCCTAGAAGTAATTCATCAACAATTTTTATTCATTTACAATAAAAAACTTTCCTGTCATATAAATTAATGATGATTTATTTATTTATTATTTCTTTTTTTAAAGAAATAAAGCATTTTACATTACCTGTTCACAATTTAGCGTGAAAATATGAAAATGATCGAATGTAGATATTTGTATATACGAATAAGTGTACGTTTATGTTTTGTTTATTTGTTAGCAGTTACGTCAGAACTAGGTAATATTTATGAGAAACGTTAAAACTTACGCTTCCCATCCAAGCAACATTTTGCTGTACATTACGAAGCATTCGATTTCTCAAATTGATCGGTGTGAATGCTCCATTCCAAAACATTTTTAATAGAGTTGGATATTGAATTAACTCTCGAGCAGCTAAAAATTTTGGTGCCCAAGCTAATCGTGCTATCCTGTGCTCTAATTCTAATGGAGCACCAATGGTCAAATCGAGATCTGCAAGTATTAGTGAAAATACAAGCGAGAAATTCAACAAAAACCATCCAATAGTAATGGATGAGAGTAATCACATAAACATTTATGATTACAATAATTTTTAGGAATGTTTTCCCTCTTAATTTATTAATTTTAATTTTCTCTATTAATTTATTAAATCAAAAAATTCAAATAAAATCTCTACTAATTTATTAGTTTAATTCAAATAGGTGTTTACTATGTGGCTCAGCTATTTCTTCCTTGAAAAATTGTGACAATGAACGTTTGCCAGGATCAATCCTTCGTATCAGCTGATCGATCAACCAACCAAATGTCATTGCATGATAAGCAACCTCTTGTCCTGGTGTCCAATTTGGTTTTTGATCTTCAAAAATTTTCGACATTCGTCTCCAATCCATAATATCTGCTTCTTCAATCATTTTATCAACGTAAGCCAATCCACCCTGTAATTTGATTTTCTTTCGTTTCTTTTTTTTTTTTTTCTTGACCGGATTTTTCTAATTTAATCAAATAGAAAGTAACTACGAAACAAAAAAAAAAACTTCATACCTGATGTGAAAGTAATATTTCGATTGTAATTTTTTCCTTATCATTTTGTCCAAATTCAGGCCAATATTTGGTAACTAAATCATCGTACGCAACCAGGCCACGATCAACCAATATTGCAAAACATATTGCACATATGCTCTGAATCATAAATTTTTTTTTTTTTGTTCTTAAATTCAAACAAAAAGCACTATTTATGATGATGACTCATCAACATCAAATGTTCTAATTAACTTTTAGCAATTTTTCCTGGATGATTTTTGTAAAATTTAAAAAAAAAAACTTTTTTAATATATTAACCTTAGTAGAACTGAAAAGCATTGTCATTGTATCATTTTTCCATTTTCGATGAGATGTTGAATCTGCATATCCACCCCATAAATCAACCACTTTTTCACCTTTGAAATATGCCGCGAATGCTGCACCTTCACTTTCCCATCGTTGTGTGAAATTATTGCTAAAAGATAATTTTTAACTTTAGAAAGAATATATCAGTTTTATTTTCCACTTTGAAATCAGAAAACTATCGATTCGTTATCGTTTAATTCCAAATCAACTTTTAAAATGTGCAATAGTTTTTTTTTTTTTTTTTTTTTTTCATCTTTCTTCAATTTGTTTTGTTTTCAAGATTTTGTTTATGGAATTCTGCGCTGTGTATTTTGAGGCTAAATAAAATTTAAAATACAGTAGTTAGTTCATTTTTAACTATTTGAAGTAGAATTTTTCATAGGAGAATAAAACGCTCATTGTTAATGTGATGTAAATTGCTTTTTGGACTTTGACTAAATATAATAAAATTTGTTACTAATTTTTTTAAAAAAAAAAATTACATGCTATTTACACGGTCTTATTTGATTAGTATTGCATTTCACTTAGCTTTTTTCTCCTGTGTTCGAAATTTTTCTGATTTCACCAAAATTTAGAATGTTGATGATTAAAAACAGAGCGCATATCCTATTTTGGTTCCAAGAAAGAGGAGGATGATGCTACGAAACCTAGAAATTTTTAATTCAATTCATAGCTACTTGTCGCAAAAAACGATACACTTAAATTACATCCAAATTTTAATACTTTTGCCACATTCTGATAAGTCATTCACCAAATAATTTCGCATTTGCTTTAAGCCATTATGCTAATTCCTTTTTCTCACACCATAAAAAACCTTTCGTTAGCAATCTTTGTTTCACATCATTTAAATGTCCTTTGCCGGATATCTGGTTGTCAGTTCAGTTCTGTATGTAAACCAACCATCTTCCATTACGGTTATTCATTCCATATTTTGGGATGGTTTTTGATATTATTTTAGTGTTTTATAATCATATTATATCTTTCGCTACGGGTTGTTATAGTGTTGATTTGTCGGTTTAATTACCCAATTTTGAGGCAAAATAAAATATCTGGCAGTCAATACATTCCACGACACTACTTTGAATTTTCATTTGTACCTTTAAGTTTAAAATCACATTTAATAAATTTGTTAAAATTGGATTAGACTAAATCCGAAATGCAATACAAATTGGTTTTACATATGCAATTATTATTATTACTATTTTTTATAAATTATTGAATGGAATAAATAACTTACTGAAAAACTTGTTTAACTCTATCGAATCGTGAATCGCAATCACCATCTACAATAATTGGAAGTCGAGGCATCTAACTTTTCAATTTTGCTTGGATTTCTATTATTTGAGAAGCAGTAAAACTGATGATGGCTTTATACCAGAATGTCTGCAATTATAAAATGCCACTTGCTTCTTAATCGATATTCCTAAAATTGTTCTTTTGTTAAATTTTCTTCTAAAATTATAAATTTATTATTCTGAACATTTCAATCGTTTAGCATAACGGATCATTCATTCAGTAAAAAGTTTAAAAAATGAAAATGAATTTAATTAATCTTAGCTAAAATCTTTATTAGTTTACACTAAAATATTTAAGATATCATTGTTAGATATAAAAGATAAACAATTAATCACTACTTCAAACTTTCTTCTTCCATAATTTTTCACATATTTTGGATAGAATAAGTGTAAACTGCAACACTAAACCCTCCTTTTCACATTTAAATGTACCGAAACAAATTAATGAATCATGCAGCAAACAACAGAGCAAAAATTTATTTCATTCCCTCTCTCTCTCTCTCTCTCATACACCTTTCTCCTCTTAGATTAGTAAAGTTTTTAAATTGGTTCTCATAGAATGAATTTTTACCAAGTATGACAGATGAAGAGCTCCCAGACAAGTTATACGTCATTTTTACCGCAAAATCTATTTCAAATTGCTATTGTTGAAATAAAATTTGATCAACTAGACTGAAATAAATAGTACACTTTTCATTTTTAACTCACTTTATTCATTATAATAAATTATTTTATATGACATTTCTTAATATTTCTAATTTATCTGCTCTGCTTTTTTTTTTTTTTTTTTTTTTTTTTTCACATTATAATTATGCTACGTTTCCGGATATGTTTCCGGAATTAATTTGCTTATATAATACTATCCAGATTAGAGATTGAATAGCATTAATGCTTTCCGTTCTATACTTTTTCCGGGATATTTGATGCGATCATTCAGGTCTGTGATAAAGTTTGTTGATACTTTAAAGATATTTTGTAGTGAATTCTCTTCATTTCAAAATAGAATAACAAGCAGAAATGTTTCAAATGACGAAAGATAGAAATTAAAAATTAAGAAATTATAAGAAAATAAAAAAAGAAAAGAATAGAAAAAGAAAGAGAAAAGCAGAAAAAAGCAAAAATTCAGGCAGTAATTTCAATCTGATTCGCAATGAATTGTTTACTGATTTCATTTCCTATTACTGATAATTGCATCTCTTAAACACTTCTTACTTTTAATAATTAACCTACAATAAGCTTGCATAATAAACTCGAATAGGCATTCTCATTAGTTAAAATTACCTAATGCAATAGATAAACCGACAAACAGACACACATACATACATATACAGGTACAGGCACAGGTGCACACATAGGCACAAATGTTTTGTGTTTATATATTATAAGTTGATTTGCTGTTAATTATTGTAAAAGTATAGAAATTTAGAGAAATTATATAGAAATTATAAATTAATAAAATTGAAAATATAGAAATTATAAATTTACAGAAATGAAAATGTAGAAATTTATAGAAACTTCGTATGTTTTTATTAAATTTTGGGAAGTTTCAACAAGAGAAATCAGTTAGCTTTTCAAGAAATATTAATTAACTGGGAAAAAAGGAAAAATATACCATTCATTCAGATTTGCTACGATGAGAATAAGCGATGCATAAGTTGAAGAAGCGAAGTTAGGAAAAAATGAAAAAAAGTGGATTAGAAGCAAAGTAGATGGAAAGTCTTTCCCTTTCTTCATGGAATCCTCTGTAAACAGTTAGTAGGTAAATGAGAATAATAAGTAGGATAGGCCTTTACTGCAAACACTAAGGATGTATGGATGATAAATAAATAAGGTGTGAAAGGTCATCGAGAGGGTAATTCTCGGGTGTTAGAGAAGTGTACAGTTGCACAACAATATGAAAATCAAACGGTTGTTATGAAGTCAGCTTTGGATATGGGTGACAGCAAGAAAAGGGGGACAATAATCACAACTGCATGTGTGTGTCTGTCTGTTTGTATGTGTATGTCTGTTTATGTGTATACGTGTGTGTGTGTGTATGTATGTATGTATGTGTGTGTTAATGAGTGTGTGAATGCATGTGTCTACCACATCAGTATCTCTATAAAATTTAATTATTTAATCAATCTATATTCTACCTTGAACAAAAATGGAATATTTCCCTCAGTGGTAAGTAAGGTAGGCTCGTGAACTTTGCTGACCACTGTCCACAACCAACTTCTCATACTTTTATTACTGACATTCAAGACACTAATAGATTATTAAGTAAATAATGACATCTAAACTATGCAAGGAATCATGTAAACAAGTAGAGATGCCATTATAGCGACTAAGGAAATGTGTGGAGAAGCCAAGATGAATCGATTTATGACTAGGCTATAAACTAATAGGCTAAGGACATTCAAATATAAGCTAGCTAAGTCTGTCCCACTTCATCCTATCCAACTCTTAATTAGTCTTGTATGAGTGTTGTTTAATCAGTAATCTTTATATAATTAGCAAAAAAAAAAAAACTTTTCATCTATTTGGCAATTTCATTTCGATCATCTCTCTCTCTGTCCCTCTCTCTCTCTCTCTCTCTTTCTCTCTGTCTTGTATAAATGAATAGACGGAAAAATCTATCCCAAAATGATTCATCTAGACAAAAAAAAAAGTACATCTATTGATGTAAATAGAGCATCGATCTTCCCTCCTTCAATATATGTATGAAAAAAGTTTGCAAGCAATTTCAGCAAACTTTTAAAAAATTACATTTCGCAAAAACTGCTGAGCAATCACTGAGTAATTCTGTTTACCGGCATATTATTGAGTAATTTTTACAAAGTAGCATTAGCATAATGACCTCTATATTTGACCCCTAACAATGATAAACTATATCGAAAACTAAGCCTACTTAAGATAGTTTTTTTTTTTTTTTTAATTTTGCACTTTAAAGACAATATTATATGGTATTTGCACTCCCACGCTTTTTTTTTCTTGAAGAGTTGTCAAGTGGTCATTTTTTGTTCCATTTTTCTTTCATTTTTCACTTTCATACATGAGATTTGAATTATTCAAAAATTTTCCTTTCACTTCTAGTGCAATTTTTGGCCTATTTTTGGAACTGCATTTGGAAATAAGTTAATTTCTAGAATTTAAATTTTGCAAATAGCTTTATTTGCATATGAGGAAAAAAATGCGGTAATGATGAGATGCATTCATTAGATTAATTTGCTACACAGAAAAAATGATTCATGTCACAGTGAATTTTTAAAAGACGAATTATTGAAATGCATTCTCGAAATGCTAAGTGAATTATTGAATGAAATTTTTTTGCAGAGCCAATAAATTATCCATCGATGCATATTTGATTTGTTGCATTTAGTATGGAATCAAAAAGAAACAAATAGAAAATTTATATGCATTGTTGGATAGTTTAATTTACTAATTTATTTTAATTTACTAATGATTGTTTTCTTCGATTACTAAAATTCATAATAAGAAGTGAGACTTTTTGTCTCATTTCTCATTATTTGTCGTCGTCATAGTAAGCAAAAAAAAAAAAAAATGCTTTTTGAATTATTTTGTGCATAGCAAAACGAATATAAACAAAAGTTGTGAAATCTAACTCTAAATTACTCTTTGATTACTTATCTAAAAGTAAATTTTTAGTGTTTGAGTATTAATAGTTTATCCCTTTTTTTTTTTTTTTTTTGTATGTCTTGCAAATGCAAAGAAATATTATCTCAAATTTAAATAATAAAGTCTTTGATTCATTTTTTTTTTTTATTTAACTATGTAACTCGTTCAAATTAAAAAGACAAAAAGATTGTAAAAATTTTTGATAATAAAAAAGTTGCACCATTTAAATTATCCTACAAAAAAGGCTCTTCTACTATATTAGTTTTATACGATACTACGCTTATACAATGATAGAAATGAATAATAGGAATTAAATACTGCTTTAGACTATTAAACATTAAACATTAGTCAGTAAATAAGAAATCTAACTTAGTGAAAGTTTTTGAAATGAATTTTTAACTAACATCGAACATTTCGATCATGTAGTAGATAATAGGAATAGGAATTAAATACTAGTAAGAATAGGTTGGTGCGCATAATGTGGAACAATCGAACCGTCTAGCATCTTTTTCACTGCTTTATACGCAACGTACGTCACGTGACATTCGTGCCACATCATACCTCGCAACGCGTAGCATCCAATGGTACTATGACTTAACGTGACGTGACGTGGTATTAGTTTGCAGCATACAATTTTGCGTGTAACACGCGTAGGAATAAATAATAGAATTATTATACGTACATGTCTTAAATGACATGTTTGGAAGAACTAAGCGACCAATTTCAAAATATGTCACTTTCCATAATAACTGTTCACAGGAGTCAAAGGTCAAGCAACAATGTCAGTGATAAGAACGTTTTACTTACTTACTACTTACTTTCTGGTAATCTTCCCAAGGTAACTCTCAGTATAATATCGAAGGGTGAGGAAACATTTTGAAATGTTTTGCTATAATTCGAGATGAATTTTCATTTATGTTTTATATTATACGATAGCAATGATTCAGCATGAATAGTATTACTTTCAAATGGATAACATTTTTAGAGAAAAATTCAACAATAGAATGAACACTTTCGAATTATATTTTTAATAATTGAAAGGAAATCTTATTTCAAAATTAATTGAAAAGTAATTGAAAGGAAATCTGAATTTCTTCATTAACATATCCACTAATTATACTAATGACAAATAATTCATACACATTAAGTTTATAAAAATTTCACATTCGAATCACGTACATTTATAAACTTTTTAATTATTATTCAATTTTTTTGAAAACAAAAACTTTCTTTGTCATTTTTTATTGGCACATTGAAATTATAACTTTCTCGGAGCAGTTACTAAAATCCTGTTTATTATACCTTACTTCAATAATGATTTCTTTACTAAACAATTTAAAAATTTAAGATTATTGTTTTCAATTCTATGGACATGAAGATGGATGAGAAATTTCTTGAAGAAATCAATTTGAAATTTTGTTTCACTGTACAAGAGATACTATCTTCTTTTTTGTTTACTTCAAATTCGTATGAAATTATACGCTGATTTTTATTATCTTGATAATATATATATATATATATATATTACTTTGATTAAAATATATTTCACCAAAACATTTTTTTTTTTGAAATTCTTTTTTTGAAATTCTCGAAAATTAACGAAATAGATATTTTGTTTCATGTTTCAATTGCAATTTTGTTTTTAAAGTATGAAATATAGCCGTTGATTTTTTTTTTTTTTTTTTATTTACTTTTGTTTTGAACTGAAAATACTAAAAGTAGCTTTCTTAACTACCAAGAAATTAATTCTGTTTCGAAAAAAAAAGTTGTTTTAGAGAATAATTGGATACTTTTAAGCTGTTCTTCATCTGAACACAAAATCTTCTAAAATGTCTTACTTTACTGTCTGCAAAAAATTTCTAAAATCTTTCCATGATACTTTTGAAAAATATCACTTCCGATTTCTAATGCACTTTTTCCTTCCTATCTTCAATTTGAAACAACTTTCGTCATAATGACAACTCCTAATCGCTTGTTTCTTTTTTTTTGTAATTTTTCGAAAAAATAAGTTTTACTTCTTATAGATTAGAGATTTCAATTCAATTCAGTCACCGTTCGCTTCATTTCTTGATTAGCTTAAGATTTGTCCTTTGTTCATGGATCCATCATTGTAGGACATTCTGTTTCTGTACTATGACCTCATCACTCAAAGTTCCTTTTTGGCCAATTTTCAAAACGTTCGAAAGCTTTTCAAATCTCGGAATGGTTTCAAAAAAAAAAAAAAAACAGTTGTTAAACACTTCTTCGATTGTTTCATTATAAGTTCTTTCTTTTTTTTTATTTTCCACTTCAAAATCAAAATCGCTGTGTCCTAGCACGACATCCTCTGTGTTATTATCAATCATATAGTACATATCGATGCAATTATGCCATCTTTACACTGCTAGTGAGGAAAAATGTTCGATTATATACCAACTCAAGTTTTTTTAAATTCCACTCCAAGACTTGAAGAATTCGGACTTCTAAAAGTTAAGAGGCAGAGTAACTTTTTCTAACTATAATCAATATGCAATCTAAAACAAAATTGACATGTGTAGTAAAATACATGTAGCAAAATACAAAATGCTGAGACAATATCAATGAAAGTAATTTAAATAAAGCAAGTAGAAGCTGTAAAGTATGGAACAATGGCAATATTATTTCTGGATTCCAAGTATTCTGATATCAATTTGTCTCCAGTGAAACTGAAGGAGTTGTTTCACTGATGGATAAACATATTGCTGCCAACTTTGACGCTATTTTGAAGCTTACAAAAAGAAAGTGAAATTAGTAAAATAAAATTTAAATGACAGGTAGACTGCTGAAATTTACAAGTAATCATCAGAAGTGATGTAGCAGTTATAAAATAATAAATGCACAATAACGTATCAGTCAAAAAATTCAAGACTTCGCAAAGGCATCAAAGTTGGCGAAATCTGCGAACTGGTCTGTTGTTGCAGCAGTAGCTGTTACTCCACTTTCAGCAAATGGATCTCTGAAAAAAAAAAGAAGTGTAGAACAGAATGAAAAGAGTAACTTCTTTACCTAAGAGTGTACAAAAGAAAAAAAGAAAAAAATCTGAGATTGAAAATAAGTCATATTTTCCATTATTTTCATTCAGGATACACCTACACGCCAGAAAAAGGATCCGATTCCACAGTTTTTAGTGATTTCGGTGGTGCAGGTCGAGGTGGTGGTGTTTTTGTTGATGTGGCGATAGCTGATGGAGATTTCGTATTACTTATATCTGAACCGAATGGGTCCTTGCCCGAAAAAGCATCAAAATTCGTAAATGACGAGTTAGTTGTGCTCGCGAATGGATCGGTTTCAAATCCAATGCCTGTAAAATACACTTAAAGAATGAATAACTATTCTAAACTTTCAATCATTTTATTATAATTATTATATCATGTTCACTTCACATGTTGGAATAATTGATAAAAAAAAACAGAAAAAAACAGAAAATAAAACCTGGTCGAACAGCTGTTACGAAAGGATCTGTAGCGATGCCAGCATCTTGATTTTCAACAATCTGAAAAAATGTGCTAATGTGGTCCACTTAACGACTCCTTACTTGATTGCATTGTCAACAAACCCTACCTCTTAAATCTTTTTCATTTTAATCAATTATCCTAACCTATAACACCACGACCTGCTGATAGAAAAAGAATCAAAAAATCTGCAAGTTTTAGTTAGCATTCTCATTTCCAGCATCCTCATTTGGAAACCTTATCTGTATTAAAAAAAAAAGAAAAAACCAGAATTACCGGAGAGATTTCCACGAGTAAACCAAAAAGCTCATCCTTTTCTTTATTAAGTGTTTCGATATCGTTACTTTCTAATAACTGATTGAGACGTTCTGCCGCTTTCTTCAATTTCTCATTTTCATTTTCAATACGTTTTGCTAACTCTTCTATATTTGCACACCTCCTTTCAAACTGAAAATAAAACTCGCCAGTCAAACAGAGATTTACTGACTCCCAAAAAGTATATATCTTTATATTTCTAGAAAGTAAACCGAATGTTTAAGCCATAGGAGACAAATAATCATAATCAACACAAATTTGCAATTAAATGTGCAAAAGAAAGCATTCAACAGCAAAATTTTGAAAAAAAAATTCTATTGGAAAAAATAAAAGAAATAAAAAGAAAATCTACTCAGGAAAGAGCTTTAAAAGCAATGATACAACTACAAAAAAAAAAAAAAAAAAAAAAAATACAACAAACTTTCGTAAGTTCCAGTGATGTTTTTTCGATAGCAGCATTATGTTGTGAAAGAGTAACAGATAGCGTTTTCTTTTCTCCTTCCAAAGACTGAACTTCTCGTTGTACATGTGTCAGTTCTTCATTTATCTAAAAAAATAAATTAATAAAATTAAAGATTTCCAAAAAACTTATAGATACTGATATTTCTTGATAACACAAACTGCAGACCATGATCGTTACAGGAATCCTGCTCTTGATATTATTCATGTGTGATCGCTACCATTTATTAGAAAAAACAGTGATTTATTTTTTGATTCGTCAGGAATCATCCAATTAACTATTTAAACTATGCATATTAAAATAATCATTCCTTATAGGAATCTTGCTCTTGATATTTATATGTAAACACCTGGATTAAACAATGCTTACACTCTTATCTTCTCCATCTTGAGTGTTTTGTGAATGAAATTCGCTAAGCCTTTTTTCCTCCTCCTTTACTTTTTCTTTGGATTGTTCTACACTTCGTCCCAGTTGTATAATCTGTGAATCAAGTGCTTCAAGCCGTTTTTCTGCTTCACTTTTCTGTTTTTCCAACTGTGTTACCGTATTTTCCAGTGTTGTTAGTTCAATCTATAATTTAGAATATGTTCCCATGATATTCCCTTTTTCTCTTCCCACATTCAATTTACAGGTATGTTCAAATATCTCGTCAAAACTGTCAAACTGGATATACAGTGAATTATGCAGAATTTCCATGACCTAATCTAGTGTGAGATAAGAAGAATTCTCTTAGTATAATGGAAACAAATACCTGCTAAAGTAGTTCACAAAGAGTTTACAAAATAAAACCATTGATAAAACAATCTCGTAAATATTAGTTGAATTCACTTCCAATCAAAAACCTTTAAATTTTTGATTTCGCTGTTCTTCACGGTCATGTCAGCTTCAAGTTGGACGATTTCTTGATCAGCTTCTCGACGATCCAGAATCAGTTTTTCAACTTCGCGCAACAGCGCATCCAGTTCCTCGTTTCCGGTTGGTACTGTATTCTGCTACAATTTAAAACAGCTCTTCCGCAATATTACAGATAAGTTTAATGCATGGATGTGACTTTTCTCATGACTGAAATCATTAAGAGAGGAACATCGTTATATTATCCAATTTTGAAGACATACTTTTGATTGATAATAAGTTCCATAAGTTATACAAATTTATCAAATTAATTCGAAGAGATAGTAAAGCAAGTCATATTGGAAACAACTGTAGAAAATGAATTACCATAGTATAACCACTAGCTACATTGGTTGCAGGAGCTTCAACTTTTCGAAAAGAAGGTGGTATCAAATTCCGTGGTAATGTAAACGGTATCGCTTTTCCTCGTTTATGATTTTCAATCAGGTACATGCTAAAAACAGTTTCTACAAAATTCATCAAAGTATATACAGCGATTTTTTTCTGCATTTCTTTAGATCAATAAATTAAAAAAGAAATTACATCAAAGAAAATTGCTCCAAATTAAGCATTCCATTCTTCTTCAGATCTACAAGCGACCAAAGCAACGCCAATGTGTTCTGCTGTATACCTGTTGCGAGCAAAATATCACGAACATCCGTACCCGAGACAAACCCATCCTGATCAGTATCCGCCTGCAATGTCCAAGTTGAATAAAAACAATTGTATAACGATCACTTCAAGGAAGACCACTACCAGAATAGAGTTCGACTTAAAAAGGCAGCGGTTGAAATTAAATCCATAAGAATTGAAGTACTGAAAATGAAACTAGAACGTCCATGTTATAATGTAAACCATAAAAAGTACCTGTTGAAAACTAGCTTCATAACATGTTGATTGCACAGGCCATGCTGCAGTAGGTGATAATGAAAGTGTTGGCTGAAAAGAGGAATAAAAATTACAAACGATTCACTTATAAATTTGTGCTCAGAAAGTTTTCCAAGAAAAAAAAACTAACAAAAATGGTTGGTGTGGTAACGGCTGTTGGTTGGACGCTTTGTGGTCGCACCCTTTCTGATTCTGATGTTGGATGTTCAGGACCTTCCAAGGACACTACTGAGCTGGTTCTTTGACGACCACCACTCCATTCTCAAGAAAAAAAAATCACAAAAACCAAAAACATTCTGTTATAATTTTTTATGAATTCAAACAATGATAATGCTAGCACACATTGTTTTAATACTAAAAGAAACTTACGAGATGTTAGAACCGGAGGAACACTCGATGAAAACTGTACAAGTTCACGTTTTGTTGGATGAATTAGAGATGGTGGTAGGACATCTGGTACTGGTTCTCCTTGCAGGGCGCAATAAACCAAATGCAGTGCAACAGACATTTCAATTCGATCAAGCTTGCCATCCTAAAAATAAAATAATTTTAAAATACTTGCTACATGTGCGTACATTTTAGCATTAGAATTAGATAACAGTGGATAAACTGACAGATGCAACTGAATCAAAAAATTTCTTAAAGAACAATAATGAATGGTTAAATGCAGTACCAATATAAATCCGATTTCATGTACTCTCTTTATTGTACTGACCTCAAAGTGAGACATTAATGTAACCAGCAAATATGTAAATGTTGAGAGAATATCAAGTTAACTACATGCAATCATTTTTTTAAAATATGTAATCAGTTAACCTTATCCATATCTGCCAGCTCCCATATTCTTGCTAATGCTGTACTTGGAAGTCCTGAATTTAATAGCACAGGACGTACCTGCAAACAGCTTAAATAGTTAAGTAGTGGGTGAAATTTTGTATAAAGTTTGATGAAAAGTATACATCCCGTGTAAAAAAGGGAGGTTAATAACAATATTACGTAAGTTATATGTCAATATAAAGCTAGAATATTAAATAACTTTGCTACAACAACTTATATCGAAAAATGCACCGTGCAAACATATAAACTTGAATTTTTCCAGCGAGAAAAGTGTGCATTAAAAATTCTGCAATAACTACATTAATATTTACTTCCTGCCAAATACATATGCATCACCTTACTACCGGGCACTTTTCCTTGAACTGGATTCAAACCATCAAAGATTGAGTCGTATTTAGCTTGATCAGCCGGATTGATTGCCCAGTTCTCATTAAAACTAGCTGATATGGCACCAAAATTAGGTATCGATGGCGTAGCGGATCTCGATGCAAAGGACGGAGGTTCTAGTTTAAGCATCAAAGAATTCCATGCGATAGGTTGTCCTTGTTGAACAGCTGCTACCAGTTTGAACGCAATAAAAGCACCGGTTTTATCCAAGTAACCCTTTCGACTATAATCAGCCAATTCCCAGATCTGAATAACTGTTTCTGAGCTTCAAAGCTATTGTTTTAGATGATATTCAAAATTCTAATTTAAAAATGTCAAGATTTCTACTCAGTTCTGACTAGAGCTTCGAGTTTTTAACTACTTTTGTAATAAAAAACTTTCAAATTGGTTCAAAAAATAAAATACCTGACCCAAAGTCGTAGCATTCAAGTTCGATCGTTTTAAAAATGCTGCTGCTTCTTGTGCAGGTACCACATCCTTCCCTCTTACATTCATCTGAAACAGTACTTAAAAGATGAAATACGACAGAAAAACTACTATCACTTTGAAATTTATCAGCACAAGATATTTTCAGGTGGTTAATTAACTGCATGAGAGACATAAATTAAAGTACATTTCCAAGGAAAATCACAAGATGTTGGCTGACAGAATCTTGTTTTGATCATCTGATAATTAACATCTCTACGTTAGACTTCATAACTCTACATTGAACTTATAATCAACTAAAAATCAAGACAAACCTCTTTGTACAAATTTTCATAAATATAAGTATGTGGTTGTGAGATCGTAGCCGTGGAGATATTCATAATTTAGTGCCTAGATAGTTGGGACAAATTTGTTTAAAGCACCTGAAAAATGATTAGTTTATTACGTATGATACTTTTTTTCTTTCTTTTCAATTTTCTAATCTTTTTTTTTTTCGAAAATTTCTCAAAACATTTAGTTCATACTTGATCTAATAATCTTTATATGTAACCCTTAGTGTACGATATATAAACTTTACAAATAACACAACAACCACATCAATACCACTCTTACGCATCTCACGCACATACGTCACTACTAACCCGTCATCTCACTCTTGAAAATAAGCACGTTGCATTTCCGTTGCATGCTTTCATCCTTCATTATTCAAAATCGTTTGATCAATATGTGGCTGTGTGGCTGAAAAAGATGTTGTGGGAATGTTCAGTCGTTTATTTCACGTTCATTTCGTATAACAAATACACGTAGCTCTTGACGTAACTACCGGAAAGGAATGAAGCATATTTGGGCTAAGTGTAGCAATAAATCTGAATAATTCAGCCGGTGATTACGTGTTTTGTTTACTTTATCATTTAATAAATAATATGCACTGTCATAGTTTGCAATCTTAATTGCTTTTCACGTACTTTTCACGTGGATTGTTCAGTTCTGTTTTTTTTTTTTTCCTTTCTTTTCTTTCATAATTTTTCAAAAAAAAAAAAAGACTTTTTTTTTTTTGAAATCCAATAGCGCAACACTTCTTTCATAAAAATTCACAATCCCAATGACAAAAGTATAAAATCAATAAATTTGTAATACCAGAAAACTCATTATGAGGCTACATGAATTGATATGAATGCAGCGGAAATGAACGTTGTGTGCTGCTTGCATGGATGTCATTTTGCATGCAAGTTTGTACTGCTGCATATGCATGCATCTCGTTGCATGCATATGCAGTGTCAAATGACTTATAGGAGATATCATATGTTGACATGTTGTTATCAGAAATGGTGTTTTCACATACATTTCCTTACAGCACAGCGTGAGATACGTTTTGTGAGTGTGGGAAGTGTACGACAGTAAAACGTGAATGTTTTTTTCTGATATTTGAAAAGCTTCACGTAACTTTTATAGATTTAATTGTCCTGGAAACGCCAGATTATAAGTACAACATTTACTTGGTATATATAGCATTATGTCTTTGTTAAGCTACACAAAAATACTTAGATGGCATACGAAGTGACTTTTATTTCTTTAATCTATATCCACAACCGATATTTTATGCTTCTTACTATTTTGATAAAACTGACAACGTGTGATTTTACTTGAAATATCTTTTTTTTGACTTCACGTGAATTCAAAAAGAGTGGGAGAAGGGAAAAAGCGGTGTTAAAATTTCCACACATGAACTAAAAAAAAACTCCAGCATAGGATGACATCTAATCGCTATGTTTTAAAATTTTCATTCAACATTTTTTAAAATAAGTTTCAGATGATGAAGCAAAATTAGTGCTTTATAGAATTCGACAATTTTTATTATTTTGCGGTAATTTTCATTGCGTATTTTGTTCTTTCGCTTAATGACAGATTTGGTGACAGGTACTAAGCGCTAGCGAAATAGTGACACTGGAATCCACGGTGTTTATTTTTTCGAAAATATACGTCAAAACTTATATCTTCCTGCACAATAAAACAAAATACTTTTATAGAAATGCTAAGAAAATATACTAAGAAATAATATTTAACGTTGTTCTTTTCATTATTAGCAAAAGTTTTCAGTTGTTTCTCTGCTGCATATTAGTAATTTTGTGCTGATTTCATTTGATTTCTTATTATCGATCTAATATCGCATGTGCCTTCGATCTCTGTTGTCGACCATTCATTTTCAGTCCATGCAAACACTATGTTGCATTCCTGTTTATAAAGTTTAGTATATATGTATATATATTCATATTCAAGAATTATAAGCGTGAAAAGATGAAAATGTAAGAGGATTAAACTTATTAAAGAGAATTTAAGGTCATGAGCTAAAGATCATTGCAATTTTCAGGTCTGATATCTGAAAAACTACCAACTCAATTGCCAAAAACTTGATAGAGATGAGGAATAAATGCATCAGTTCTTACTCTTACTTCTTTGAATTTATACGATATCAAATAACCTGCTGCTGCGTTATTGGAGTTTCCAACTGACAAATTTTCAAACTGCTTAATGCCACTGTCTGTAAAAAGAAAAGTGGAGAACCACTTCTTGTGAATTTATTTTCGTTGTCATATAATTAATATAAAAAGAGTAAGGCATGAAAAACTTAAAGAAGAAAAGACACTTTGATTAACACACATTTTTGTTGCATAAGCTCCTTGCGTTTGTTTGAAAAAAATTATAAGTAGCATAGTACTTTCCTGTTTGTCTGTTATAAGTTCGTACTACTGTTGCTTTTAGTGATTGACCTGGAAATTCATAATAATAGAAAAGTGCCTCAAAATTGATATTGCAGGCAATGGTTAAAGTTCCAAACCTGGTATTGGTATCCACCAGTTAGTTTCGGAATTAGGTAACTTTGAATTCGTATATAGCGTTCCCGACCTATATAGTATTTGCTGAAATGATTTTATAAATTATGACAAATTAGAAGTTTAACTAATTTATTGTTGAGATTCAAAAACTACAGTTATATATTCTGTACAAGCCATTGACATAACATTAATGATAGAATCAAATTATAGTGATAACACTTTTTCGACGCTGTTTTTATCTTTTTTATGATTAGCTATTTCTATGTTAGGAAGTTGCCCACAGATAATTTGTGTCATTTGATAAATATCACACAAAGTGATGTGTGATGCAGTTCCTATTTAATAAACTATTACTGAAAATCCAGTTTTTTCATTTCTTTTTTTTAAATTTACAGAAACTATTTGGTCTTCGGTAACCTTTCAGATCAAAGTATTCGAAAATCAGAGGATTTATGTGGTATTCAATCCAAATTCAAGCTCTGTTAAACATGTATACATATAAAGCAAGCAAATATATATATGAGTAAATAATGAGTAGTCGTTTCAATATGGTCAGGCTTGGAAAACAGAGTAGAGAGATATCATAAATTGTTTAAGTAGAAATACAGAGCTTGATTGATTGGAGAACTCGAGAGTAACTTGTTACTGCTTTATGAGTATCAGAATGCAATATTCTTATTCTCAGTCATCAAACTAATTATCTGATATTGTAGTTATTCTATTCGTCTTTCGGCAAAATGTTCCATACTCCAAATTATTGTTTATTTCATTCTCATATTCCCCTTTCTAGTCTTGATTTCATTGAATCAATCCCAAAAAATCTTTTCATCATATTCTCTCATCAAAGATGACTACTACTAAAGATCATCCAATCATATCACATATTTTGTATCAGTCCGATCGCAAACTGTGAGCAGATGCAATAACCTTAATCAAGTCATTTGCGGAAGGCACCAACGTATAATGTCATCAGCAGTATTGCCAGTATTTGTATATCAAAGATGACATCAACAAAACTGGCTAATTGTTTGATATTTGTTGTGAATGATGTATTTGGTGCTTTCCTTCAAGAATTAAAAAGAATTTACTTTTTTAAGCATACGAAACAAATTAAATTAGCACGGAAATAATTAAAAGAAAGAAGAAACAGTCGAAAAAGACACAAATTTCGGGATACCTGCAGTGTTTTATCATTATCGGGCACAGGAACTTTTCTATTCAGAATTTTTCCGATCGATTGTTTGATAAGAAGTAGATAAAGTGTAGAAAATAAGTATAACCACATCATATAACGCATCGGTTTTGTTTTGAATCAGGAAAGTTTAAATTCGGAAGAAAGCCGAGACAAAAGCCACCAGTTGAAAAGTTGTACTGGAATAAGATAATTTGAAGTATTTAATTCCTTCATACTACTTTCGCATTACGAATCGGATTTTTTATTCTTAATCTTCAGTTAGCAAACTCCCAGTATAGGTTAAGTAAAATATTTACTGTTTTATTTATTTGTTTATTGTGATTAATTCTACAGCAAATTCGTTTTGCAAATGAATGATAATCGTGAAATACAAATGAAGTCTAGAATATCCAACCATCTATTGGTTGGTTAATTTCAGTCTATCATGGTTACTTAGTACTTTCATGTAATTTCGAGAATTCTTAAAATTGATCCCTCTCCAGTGTAGAGAGTTTTCTCTTGTTACTGCTTGGTACAGTCCTTCTTAAAGGAAGATAAAGAAAGAGAAGAAAAATAGCAATTGAATGAAGGAAAGTTATTGCAAAGACATTACAAATAGGTTAGCTAGCTTATTTTTTTGAAGTGACAGTTTAATTTATGAAGAGCTAATTAATTGTCATCATTATAGGGTCAAATTTATGAGATTAATTTCCAAAAGCTATTTAAATTCAATACTCAAGAATTTTCATGTCTGTATCGATTTAGAGCGATCTTCTCTGAAAGAGTAGGAAGCAAAGATTTAATTTTTGCTCACTACAGCACCCAATATTTGTGTGAATTATAATATTGTTTTCTCGAAAAGTCTGCAAATGCCAGCTTGTTTGTTCTTTAGAATTAGACAGAATAATCTTAGCCCAATTTTGCAAATAACTTTGCAGTCCCATTTTCTGAAAATTTAATTATTTCTCTTCTAGTAGCCAGTAATCTGAGCTAAAAAAATTGAATTGCATTTAAGAAAACTGAAATTGCGAAAATGATCAGGAATACAAACACTTTCTAGTCACTGAATCCCATAGAATTTTTATAGGAAATAATTGGAAAAGAAATAATAAAGGGATAAACACCAAATAGGTCTAAATTTTTCGAGAAACAAACAATGAGGAAATACCCCCATTCGCTTTCCGTATCGTGTTAATTCGGGAAGGGAGTTCTGAATTCTTTCAGGATTCAGAATTCTTCCAGGATCCAAAAGCAACAGAAGATTTGCAAAGAAAGCGGTAAAACTTCCTTTGCTGTTAATTAATAAAATTGTATTTTATTAAAAAGGAAAATAAAACGAATATCTAAAAGCACTGTTTACTAGATAATTCCCATATAAAATTCCCTGCTATCACCCGGAGAGGTTGCTATTATTTCATATTATTCCACCCATCACTTAAAATATGAATTTTTCTCATCATAATGGTTCCTCTCATCAATCATCACTGAGATGGTATTTAAAAAGCAAAAAAATACAGCAGGTAGCCAATTTACAAAATATATTGAAAATATATTTCGCTTAAACTTTATCCAACTTGAAAAAGTGTAAAATATTTCGAGGTATTTTCGTTGAGTGACCCTATGGTCATATTTGAAAATATGTCACTAAAATGACCTCAAAAATTAGAAAGTTAATAATAGACCTCGAATATGATCAGATATTACTTTACAAATATTACTATGAATTACTTTACAGATGAAAAGAGAGAATGCTCTCTAGTTCTAATCTTCCATTTCAGGAATACTTTCTGTTTGTTTCTTTTTTTATTGCACTACATCTATTTTGATTTGCACCATTTTAAAAGCATCTCTACTTTATATATTAATCATAACGTACAGCGACATTTCTCGAATTGACAATTTAATAACCAAACTCTGAAGCAGATAATCAGGAAATTATCTTTTTTTGTTGTTGCAAAAGCAGCGCCAAATGTGCAAAAAAAGAAAAATGTCAAATCAAAGTTCATTTATTAAATAACCTTCAATTAAAGAATATAGAAAGAGACAGAGAAGGAAAGATCAGGATATAATAGATCGGAAGAGACGACAGTATTCATCGTATATCCGATAATCACAAATATAACGCCCAGTGCAAAAAAAAATTATAAATATGACACAATGTTGAAAAAGAAACCATTTCCTTTTTATGAAAGATTTTGTCAAGTTTTAGTGCTATATTGTAAATCAATTCAATTGATTATGACTATTTTATATAGGAGATTCGGCGATTAAACTTAAGAAATTTTCGTCATATTTTTATTAAGGGAATATTGATAAAAATGTCGAATAAATTTCCTCCTGTTTATATGAAATGCAGTGATAAGAGAAGCTGATATCAGCAAATGCTGCTGCTGCTTATCCAAGCAAAAAGACTAAAGAGCAGGAAAGCAAGCAAAGCTGATAAGAAATGAAGCAAACTACAGAAATAGCAACTGGAAATCTTTTAGTGGTTGCATCAAAGGGATTAACAACGTCTAGCTGGTAATGACATAACGACGATGTGTAAGTGGCAATCTGTTAACGGATGAAAAAAGCAATTTCTTTCGTTTAAATATATCAATTGTTTGGCCTAGTGATATAATCAGTACATTACAAAATAGAGGAAACAGTAAAGATGAGCTAAAGAATTATCATATCATCCATTCAACTTAGGGAAGTTAACGGTTAGCAGAAAAATCTTTAGTATCTTAAAAATTAGACAGTTAACCTTATCATCAATACGAGATAAAATGAGACTAATTTATGTCGAGAAGTTAACTTGATCAGCAGAATGATGAAGTTGCTATTAATACAACAAATGTTACTGTGATAAACAGAACAATTATAGGATCAGCTTCTATATTTTGTGCGTAGTTTTATTATCATTAAATATGTTATTAATGTTACTGTGATAAACAAAACAATTATAGGATCAGCTTCTATATTTTGTGCGTAGTTTTATTATCATTAAATATGTTATTAAAGTATTGCAGAGTGTGAAATAAAATGAAGAGCAAAGCTAAATTTCAATGAACATCAAAAAGAAAACCGGAAAATTGACATTTCCACCATATTCAGAGAAAATCACTCTAACTTTTTCTTGAGAAATTTTTACTCAAGGAAAAATTAGGGAGATTTTAACTTTAAAATATTGGAAAAGAAAAAAATCTGCCGTTGTGAATCATTTAGCGCATCTGGATACCGCTTACTTCTAAATCGCCACCAATTTGAAGACCATTGATTTCATGAGGATCCACGCGGTGAGCGTATGTTGCATATCGTTCGCTGTTGATAAATATCTGGAAATTTTAGAAATTAATTCAAAGTCCATTATTCACAGATACTTATTACCTGGAAATCAAAAAATTCTGACAATTTGAAAATTCAAGATCAAACACTACATTCTTTTTGCCTTCCAGTTTACATACAATATTTTACATAAACATTTAAAATGGCAATGTCCAAGACTTTATAAGATATTATTTTAATCAGTTTTGTCCGTGACTTCAAATGACAGTGTTAATTGTAAATAAAAGACAGAACCTGGAAGGCGTACTCCTCGTTTTTGATTTCTAAATCAAAACCAATTCCTTTCTCGAGGACCATTTTTCCTTCACGTTCCTCGTTGCCCCACTCACCAGCAATCAGTGAATTACGAACTATCGCCTAGATTATGTACCTTCTATTTTTTATATATGAGTATGGCAAATCGAAATGAAGAACGAAAGTTAATCAAAGAGGAAATGGTTTCAGAATTAAATTCGTAAAATTTTGAAGGTTGAAAAAAGTTTTGATTATTCACTGTTGAAATGTCATTTCAAGTTCTTTCAATTTCAAAAACCCTCAAAACTTATAAAAATGTATGAATCGTTAAGACTTTAAGCTTACTGCTACTATTAAAACCAACCCTATCCGGAACAAACCCAACAATTAGTTCTGATTGTTATACCACTTTACATTGCAGACATAAACTTCAGCATACATTAACACAAATATATCAAGCATAATTAAAAGGAGATTGACAGAAATAGAGAAATCAATATTTTCATTTTCGATATGTGAACATATTAGATTTTTCACTCTTCTATATTTCTAAATTTTGGTGAGATATTTATCCTACCATGCAAAAATACAAACTTTTTCATCGAATCGAGGATTGAAGTGAAGTGCAATATCACCGTTTTTTTTGAGTAGATTGATGTGGAAGCGTTTCCCTTTTTTTTCTGGTGTTGCAAAGATAAGTAACGATTTGCCTGGCACTAAACCTTCTCCACTTAATCCACTTTCGTATGGAACTGGCTATAATAATAAAATTTTTACCAAGTCTTAAAAGTAAAATAAATTCGTTTAATGGGAAATTTTACAAATATGAAAGCGCATTTAAAAAAAAAAAAAACTATGCTTTAAATATCAATATGCCATTATTCATTGGTTATGAGCCAACAAGAAATGGCAATTAATATCATTTCATTTCTTTTGTCTGAAACAAATTAGAGTTTTAAAACGAGTAGAAGATAATAAGACACAATGATCTCTCATTTCTGTAAATTTTTGAGGAAAACTCGAAAAACTAAAGACATATGATTATACTTTGCTTGCATCTCTTCAGCCCATAGAAAAAATATTCTGAATGCAAGTTTGTTGAGGAGTTTTTTGAAAGAAAATGGGAAAAAAATGAAAGTAAAAAAAAAGACAAGGAACACTTACATAATATTTGCCTCCCCAATGGATATATGTGACGAGCACGTCTCCATCAATCGAGAAATGCGTCACTGAGGAAAGCGGGACACGATGCTCATATTCTTTCACTTCTTTCTGTAAAATATGCAAAGTGTGCTTTTTGTGAACACTAAAATTTATTAGACCATTTTAAGGAGAAGTATTTGCACGCTTCTTTTTTCTTCATCCTGATTAATCAGACATTATTTAAGTTAAAATGGAAATTATAGCGAGGAGATCAGAGTACTGTATTCCGCAAATAAACGAGAGAAAAAAAAAAAAAGAAAATATATCATTTGCTCCATACAAGACTTGATATATAATTTCAAATTAGCTTAATTTTCTTGTAGACTAAACTGATCCATGATTATTTC